AGGTTTAGCGGCGAAAAAGGGATAAGGATGTGTTGAGGTTTCAGATTTTACCGTCTAGGGATCATCGCCAGGGACTAGACCGAAACCCTAAAACCAGAAACCCTAAAACCGCAAAACCCAAAAGGCCCTGAATGACTGAACCATAAACCCTAAACTCTAAAACCCTAAAGCCTAAACCCTAAAACCCTGAACCCCAGCACCCGTAACCCTAAAGCCTAAAACTCTAAACCCTAAATCCCTGAAGCCCTGAACCCTAAACCCCTAGAGCCCTAACTCCCTAAAGCCCTAGACCCTAAAAACCTAAACTCTTACACCCTAACGCTCTAAACCCGAAGAACCTAAGCCCTGAACTCGTGAACCCTAAAGCCCTAGATACCTGAAACCCGAAATCCTAAAATCCTAAACCCTTAGAGCCTAAAGCTCTGAACCCTAAAGACCTAAATGCTTAAAACCCTAAACCCTAAAGCACAAAATACATAAAACGCTGAACCCTAAAGCCCAAAATACCTAAAGCTTAAAACCGTAAAGCCCTAAATACCTAAAACCCTGAAGCCCTAAAGCTCTAAATACCTAAAACCCTTAACCCTAAAGCCCTAAATACCTAAAACCCAAACCCTAAAGCCCTAAACCCTAAAGCCCCAAATACCTAAACCCTGAAGCCCTAAATACCTAAAGCCCTAAACCCTAAAGAGCCCTAAACCCTGAAGCCCTAAATAGCGCCCTATACCCTAAAGCGCTAAATACCTAAAACCCTGAACCCTAAAGCCCTAAATACCTAAAACCCTGAATCCTAAAGCCCTAAATATCTGAAACCCTAAACCCTGAAGCCCTAAATAACTAAAACCCTCAAGGTCCTAGGTTCCCCAGTAGCCCCTAAATAATAAGGGTACACTTTTTCCTACAGCTTGGTTTTATAAGGGAGCCCAAAAGGAAAAAAAGGGCAAAAGGGTAGACGACTGGGGAACCCAAACCCTAAACCCTGAAAGCAACCCGAGGCTTCGGAAACCCCTAAACCCTAAACCCTAAAACCTTACCCCTAAACCCTAAACCCTAAACGACGGCGCACTCTTATTCCCACCCCCTGCATTAGCCATAGGTCTAGGCTTTAGGGTCTAGGGGTTAGGGTTTGGGGTTTAGGGTTTGGGGTTTATTAAGG